TTCTGAAAAGAAAAGAACTTGTCCTGCTTTATTGTAAACAACAAAGCCCCGAATACCATGCGCGCAAAGAAGACATCCAAATTCCTGCATGCAAAGTGCGGGTTAACATTCGACCAATCAAATTGCACCATCACATCTGTTCGCACAATAGCATCAGTACGCGCAACAGGCGTCGCATACATTACTGAGGCAGCGACAATGGCGACTTTCGATGTTTATACAGAAAGTTGTTTGCCTGATTAAAATATCTAAGAAACACAAACTCAAAGACCGGTTCACATCTGGGACCCTTCATTTTAACAATGCAGTGACCACAAATCTCTCCATTAAGAGAATAATGGATTTGTCCGCGGCGTCGGTAATTTTGTGACTTTTGACAACTCAGTCTGCATCCGTACAGTCAGTATAGGGATCATTGCGTCCAACTAGCTGAGAGCTGTACGCGGAAGTATTTAATCTTGAGGTCACTGGTTAGAGAAAATGTGTCCAATGAGTATTCAATAAAGTCAGAGGCAATCAGCCCACCTGAATGGGCGACATGGATGAAGGAAATGGGTACAAATGGGTATCAAATCAGAGGTAACCAGCGCGATTGAATGGGCGATGGAAACGAGTAAAATGGGTACAACTGGGTATCAAAACAGAAGTAACCAGCGCGATTGAATGGGCGATGGGAACGAGTGAAATAGGTACAACTGGGTATCAAAAGTACCACCGAGGGTACGGGTACACAAAGGGCATCAATGCAGAATATGATTCACACCATAACTCAAGCACATAACCGTGAAAACGCACGGACACAAATGAAGTGTTATATATGAAAGTTTATTTATCACACACATAATGTTCATACCAACTTAAAAGTACAACTGTCTTAAATGTCTCATAATACCCAGGACCTTCCTCCTGTTAATTTTTTTTCGAACATTTTTACAAAATGTGTATGAGATTGCGGTAATTATTTTTACAAGAGGAAAATGTTTATCTAATGTAACTGACAATCTATACACATTGCATTGCCTATTAAACATTATTGTCATGTACAAACAAAAACAGGGGGAAAACAACATTTAACATACTGATAGAATTATGATTATTCGTTACGAAATTAGCAAACTGAGGTACGGTACACTTTAAGAGACTCGTAAGGCAAAACTTGAGGTCGAATAGAAGACATTTTAAGAGTTGTGTTGTCAAGTGGCTGCCAAAATGAACTGTTGGACATTTTGAGGTTAACTTTGTCTGAAAAAAAAAAAAAAACACCCCAAGATATTGGCATACATACGACCTCGGGTAAAGAGGAAAGGCATATAATTTTCTCTAAAGTTGCAACATAAACATCGGACAATAAGAATGGATCCTCCTTTTTTTTTTTTTTAATTAAGATGCCAATTTGTCGAGCTGCACCTGTTTATATATGCCTTAAAGAAAATGCTTACTATTAAGTTTAAGCAAATGTTTACAAAAATGAGTTATATTTGGTCACAATTAAATTCACATTTTGCTTAACTGGCTCACTTTAGATATTGAAGAAGTTTTTTTTTTTTAAAGTCGTGCAGATCTTAATTCTGTCTATTCTGTTCAATAAATTCTGTCTATTCATGAGAATGTCCAGGTGTTTACACAATATGTGGATATCACTGGAGTAATTGTTGCGGGCTTCTGTTTAGACAGAGTACCGCCATGAACAGATACTTATATTTGTTCAATAACAAACATGGACTCTCAAATAAAACATTTTCCAGTCCGTTTTGTTGCCAACTGTTTGTTGGGGTGTGATAGAAATTTCTGTAATTTTTTTTTTCCAATTTTTTTTTTGGTGGGGGGCATCACAGGGCCATGTAAGCGCATTCTGTTCATCACATAAAACCTAAGACAGATTACATGCTGTGCTGTTGATCCTTGTGTGTGCGAGTCATAAGCATACATTAAACTAAAAAGGTTCATTCAAACAAAATGGTGTGGTATTGTTTTGAACTTAACTTCTGCATCATCAAGATGTAAGACTGTAGCCAAAGGCAACAAAAATAAACGTAATTAATTTGTCCAAACTTTTTGGCTCAAACCATTAATCTGTCCATAACCATTCCTGTCACAAAATTTGAAACATACAGAAATACATACCAGTTCAATGAAACAATTTAATGACCCTTTCTGACTAAAACATTACATCCGTGCAATTTGGCAAAATCAAACGTAAACTTCCCTGATTTTTATCAAACACCTTTTTTTTTATTTTGCTTTCTTAATTTACAAGACGATGAATGGGATTTTTTCCCAGGTACAACACAATCTCAAAAACTTCCCTTTTGGCAAATACACTATTTTTTTCACAATCTTCTTGTCATTCATGTCTATAGGTTAGTGAAAACTCCAAAATAAAATAAATAATAACAGTTCGAGGAGATTTTTAAATGAATAATAATTTACAACATTTGACTTAGCTACAAATCCACATTTATACTACACCCTTACTGGCCTTTCAAAAAACCTGCTCTCAAATGTTGAATATAAAACAAAAGTACAAATGTCAATTTTCAAAATCAGCCCAGTTTATCACCGCAACCGATTCAACATGTTGAAGTTTTAAACTTTTTTATCTTGGGGCAGGTTAAGTTGACAAAACAAAACAAACAAAGAAATATTCAGCCTTCATATATTTAAAATGGTCCGCGTTCTTTTCAAATTCCAGTACTGGATATTTTGTTTTAGATATATTCATCTAACTTTAAATATCTTTATTCCACCCTGTATATTTTTTCACTTATTTCCCCAACGTACTACAAACTTTGAACTAATTCTAACTCTAAACATATTTTATACGACTCTACCATAAGAAAATTTTGCATTTAAAACAAATGAATAGGGAAAAAACTAACTGCAGCACAGGTTTAACACAAATTTCTGTGCTGGACACACAAAAAAAGTTCAATTTCTGTCATGTGGGTTTAGTAGTAATTTTGTGTTGTTTAGAATAGGATGTGTGTGTAGCAGTATGCAAATACAACATGGTTCGAGGGGGAAGTAGTGGGAATTACTGGCCCCGAGGTGTACATGTAGGTCAGCTTGACTACGGTACCTCCTGCTAAATTTGTTTTACTACACCTCATAAATATTTGGTAGCCTCACTGCCTTTTTAGTAGCCTCACTGCCCTGTCGATAACAGCCTTCGTAGATTTTGCATCTTTATTTAGCACAATTCAAGTTCTTCGTCACAGTGCATGGAATAGTCTGGTGCCAACACTGTGTCTTTACTGCAGTAGTAGCAAGGACTAAAACAACAGACTGGTTCAGTAAAGATTACATGCCACGGACTACATATGTCTACGAGGCGGGTTCCAGAGGGAGCTTTTGGTGCTACCAGAAAAAAATAACTACCGCACGACAGCGAGCTGGATACACACCAGGAAGACATTCACCTGGGCGCGTATCATATTTACTTCCCAAATGCGCAGTGTAATCGGCCAATGACGCGCTCCAATTTGATCATGAATATTTATGAGGTGTAGTAATGGACAATACTATGCACGGCACCAAACAGATCAGATACGAATACCTGCTCAACGGTGACAAAGAGAGAGAGATGTGTAACCAACAATGCTCGCAAAGACCCAGCGCCCAAGCAAACATGGTTTGGACACACTAAGATGACAATTAGTCATGCACACTTCACATCATGTTTTCAAAGCACGCATGCACTAGAGCTCTCAAAAGTGGGAAGACAGCGTCATCTTCTGTTTGTGCTTGAAGTCTGACACTCACCCCAATCAAAAGTTTGGAGGGTGCCACACTTGTATAGGCCTCCCATTCGAGACCTTACTTGGACCTTACAAATTAGGCCTCGTGGCGCTCACCCCCCTTTACAGAACCCTAACCCCTACGGTGATTGACTAGGAATCTTCCTCACCCTTGCAAAATTCAAACACCATATGGTAAACTCCACACGTAAACAGTTGGACTCTGTTTATTTGTGGTATGCCTAACCCCACTAAAGCAGAATCAGTTTACTAGTGCAGTACTCATCCTAACAGATTCCAACAAACCCTGGTGTTGGAGTTTGGCTGGTTGGGGATTGTTAGGGTTAATACCCACTTATTCCCTGGCCTCCAGGGAGATGCAAACAATATTGACCATCCTTACACTCAGTCTACCGATGATGACTAGAGCAGGCTAGTCGAAATGTTGAGACCAAAGACAAGTTCTTTTAGAACTTAAAGCAGGACTGTTCTTACCAGAACTTAAACTACTTAGCGAAAGTTGATAATAAGCAGGACAAGTTCTTATTAGAACTAAATATCGACTGAGAGACAGTAGTTATCACCACATGGTGTTACCGCAAACCGAAACGATACATCCTTACACTGCATCAAATGTGTTTAACATACTTCACTCAATGAAATTTGGTGGTGAAAACGGTGTAAACGAAAGCAAAACTCTGCACACAAAATATCAGAAGTACAACCAGAAAGGAACCGGTTTTGAAGTGAAATGAAGAAGCAAAGGCAAAAACCGTTATGTGGAAAATGCAAATGGACAACTGCACAAGTTACAATCATGCAGTTAATTGTGATTTTTGTTAATGTGATGTTTTGTTTGTTCTCAAAATGTCATGAGATATAACTTGACACTAAGTGTTTACATCTGTACATGTATATATACACACTAAGTTTCGATTCAAAAACCAACCCATGCTACCTCAGAGACCAAAGCTGTGAAGTGTTCAACCCACTGTGTAAACTTTCAATGTGTTTATACTATCTTACAAATAAATACAAAAGTCCAATAAATAAATACAAGTTTTTCTTTCACCGCCAACTGTCAATCCAACAGTGTGGTAATATCCCAGGGAGGCAGATCCCAGACCAAATTTAGCTGGAAAGTGGAACTGCTATTAAAGTGAGGCTGTATCCGAATCACCACGGCCGGAAATAACATGTGCACTTCTGGTAGCCACTGGCTAGCGGCTGCAGCCTCTTCCCATAGACTTGTGTGTTAATTTAAGCCGTAGCCAAGTGATTCAGTCCCGGCTTAACCAGTTTTTAGTCCGGTCTAACTACCATGTTACTGGCTGGTGTTCAATTTAAATCTCTCCGACATTCTGGACCCTATCTCCAATTTTGTAACCCCTGCTCTTTAAGGTAGCGTCCATCATTTGTCATTTGTGCATTATGTTCGTTTGAAGCAACACAACTGCTCAAAATCTAAAGGAGGGTGCTGAACAACTAACCTGATGCAGTTTCAGCTCAGTGAATGTTGTATATTCGGAGAAACCAATTTTCTAGGATCTCATTTTGAAAAGAAGGGAACGAGGCGAGGGATTACTTTTCACTCGACCTCAAGCCAGGCGGGCTGAAACCGTTGCCCTCGGGCAGCACACTCATATTTCCAGCCTCGCTCGCTGCGAATACCGCAAAACCTTTATATGAGCGACTCAAACTTTCTGCCGAAAATGCGGAGAAGAATCGTCAGCAATATAACCTGGATTCCTTCTTGTAAACCCCCCTAAACCAGCACATGATCCAACACTGGTCGGCCTCGACTCAAGTCACTGGGAGTGGCAGGTACTTCTCGCCCTAAATTGGTGACTCGGGGGGGAACCCTCTACTCTACTGTGAATCCACACGTCTCCTCAATGGCACACGTGAGTTTGTCCAGAAACTTCTCGTAGGATTCGTAGGGCGGTATATCTAGCCGATTGAAACTGTGGAAGAAATGAAACGACACTTGAATTTTCATTCAATAAATACTTAAGACAGTTTAGGCCCCCCCAAAAAGTCTCCGGTTTCTGGTATGGAGCTTGCCCAAAAAGTGGTACGGCGACGCGATTTTTTTTTTTTTTACCTGTTTTTTTTGCTTCAAATGTCGGCTGATGACTGCAAATGGTGCCCGACTAAACATTATGGGAGACCAGAGAGGCCACATAAAGCTTATTCTCGATCATAACCCCATCTAAAAACACGTTAAAATTGTGCAGCAGCAGGATTCCAGTCAAACCAGTGAGTTTGGCGGTTTTGAGACATCATCTTTCATTGAAAAAAAAAACGTTTTCATTTTGCCGACGCGCATGGCTACGGCGACGCGCGCGCATACCAGAAACCGGAGACTTTTTTTTTTGGCTTTACACATTCCTATTGGTCGAGAGTCCGTCACGTGGCCGGTTTTAAAACGGTTGATAAAGACATGGCTGGCTGGTCTTAAACACTTTTCCAGTGTCACATGAAATGTTGACTCCTATGGAATCTGGCGCCAGCACCGTTTTATTGGTTGAGCGTTCACAATCCTCGCGTAGATACCAATATGCGCAATACTACCGGTGAGTCAGTATTTCATAGTCCTTAATTCACACTACTATGGTACATATGCGTTGTGCACCACATCACGCAGTACGCGCGAGCGCGCGTCAGTCTCCATATAAGGAGTTGTTTACCAGAGGGCCTTACCACTGTATAGCTAGAGGGGTGTTTTGTTGATTGAAATCATTGAAAATTTATAATTCTTGACTTGTTCTGAGTTTTAGACCATAAACTTTGGATTTTTGACCCAAAAGGTATTTATGAATGGGAATAAATATGTGCTTGGTCGGTATTAAACACTCTACTTAAGACCCATTGGAGTCTGGATGCTGATAATTACCCGAGCCAAGTGTTTAAGACCGGTTGGAGTCTGGATGCTGGTAATTTTCAGCATTCAGACTCCAACCGGTCTTAAACACAGTGTTTAAAACCTCCAAAGCACACTTTATTCCCTTAATATACAGGGTGAGTCAAAAAAACAAAACCGAAATGTCGGGACTATTGTTTTTATTGAAGTTCTGCATGTAGCACCTTCAAAATCTAGTATATGAAAGCCCAATTCATGAGCTTTCTTTTAATACAAGAATCATTTGAATCACTCATGTACTTTTCAAGTTACGGAATTTTTAACACAACCACCGTTTTAAGGTTCTGTCCACGGATCACCAAAAAGGTGTGCGCTCTTTCAGCAAAACGAAAACAATTCACACACATCCCTATGTGATTTGCTTTCGTTTTGCTGAAAGAACACTGAACTTTTTCGCGATCCGTGGACAGAACCTTAAAACGGTGGTTGTGTTTAAAATTCCGTAACTTGAAAAGTACATGAGTGATTTGAATGATTCTTGTACTAAAAGAAAGCTTATAAATTGGGCTTTCATATCCTAGATTTTGAAAATGCTACATGCAGATCTTCCCTAAAACAATGGTCTGAACATTTGGGTTTCGTTTTTTTTTTACTCACCCCGTAGTTTGACAAAAACAAAATTTTGTTAGCGTAGGACATAGAATGACAGCAATGACTTTTTTTTGGTCTGGAAAGTTTCTTATCATTGTTCACTTTTATGTATTGCCTGGGATACTTCCAAAAGAGATTGATTCATGAATCATTCCACAATTGCTGGCTGCTCCAGATGTCTCAGAATTTTTAACAGTCTTCAGTGGGCACTAAAATTTACAGTAGCACATAAAGATTCCCCTAAAGCATCACGCAAAGTGACAAGATTTAGTCTCACAAGGTATTTCCCACCGGGGGGAGTATAAATAATACGCCATCGGCTGGCTTCATGAACTGAAATATTCACGACATGTTGGCAAGCGTCTCCGACATGTTTCAGAACTCCCCATGTGACTTAAAGGGAATGTGCATCATTGGCTTTTGCTGTAATTTTCAGAAATGAACTATCTGAGGGGTTAGTACAATAGATCAAATATTGTTACACTGACATGTTTGAAGTTTTTTGTTCAAAAATGCTGGAAAAACTAAGAAAACCAAAAATGTTCAAGTAGTCTGGTTCCCTGACTCCACTAAATATGAAATGGATCAATTTATAGATGCCGGAAAATTGTAAGGTAATGTAAGGGAACCAGTTTAGCTGGCCTGCACCCGTTCATGAATATGTAACCAATAGCAAACAAAATTTTGACTGGAGAAAGGTAAATTTGGAGCAGTAGTTGAAAAACAGTTAGGTTTTTCCAACGGTGGTCGGCCGACCACCGTTGGAAATTTATACAAAAATACCACTTTTCTTGAAACTGAATTCACGCCAGGTGCCATAATTTGACAGGATGCTTTAGACTGTCATTTAACAACATCCTAGTAAGGTTTTTCGTAAAAATTTGGTTGTTTTGTTTTTCAATGTTTGCAAATGTTGTATATTCCCTTTAAATTGTAGGCTAAACTAGACTGATGGATGACCGTGTTCCAGATGGGTGACTCTCTTACCATGTGTGAGCCTTGGGTAGGTTATTTGTGCTGGCGTCTATCTGATGGATGGTGAAGAGTCGGGGACCCGGGGCACCGGTGGAACCTAGAAGGGAAGAAATAATTGGGAAATGTTAGTCCCAAGGTATTTGTATTCAGGAAACATAAGGTAAAGAACAGCAATTTTGACCTGTCCAGTTTAACACAACATTTTTCAGAATTTCCATCTGGACTTTGGTGAGGATACACGTACTGGCAACAATCCTCAAGAGTCGTACAATTTAATTCATGAAAAACTTCCATCCAGTAAAAAAAAAAGAAAGATGGATCACAAGGATCAAGCAGAATAAGGCAATTTTTTTTTTATTTTTTTTTAAAGATTTCGAAGCTCAGATTTTTTTCAAGTGTAAGAAATGACAGTTTCAATTGAGAATCACAAGTCATCTTGTCTTTATTTTTTTCCAAGTCAATCAGGTAACCCAGACAGAAATACTAAAACAGCACAAGAACTGTCGGTGTCGTTCAAACTTCGAACGACGTCATTTCCTACAGACCATCCACATACATCAACATTTTGAGCCTCAACTTGGCATAACGCGCATCGGCTGCGTCGTATTTCGAACACATTTCAAGCAACAAGCATGCGTGTTTGGAACATTTTCAACACCGTGTAATGCATGCTTGATTGCGTAAAATAAGCAGTTGCAGTTCTCCTACAGAGATGGCCGTCATTGAGCGAACCCTATTATTAACAAATGTACTTGAAAGTAAATTTAAAGAAAGGAAAATAAAAAGCTCAAAGAGAGAGGAAAGTTGGTCATGTGACATGTTGGGGCTGGGCTACTGATACTTTTGACAAAGTCTGGTTGAAATCGCTCAAAATATGTAGGAGCAATAGACAATGTCAGCGTTTGTTACTAACTAACTTACATGTATTGACTGATAAAGAGACGTGATGATTCGCTGAGCTGCTATCCCGCAGCTAAAAAGTGAATAGCTTCTGCATAGTTACAAAAATAGCAATTTCGAAAATTTACGGCACAGAGAATCCATCTTTAAATCTGCACACTACTATTGACTTGGCACTGAAATGGGACTATAACACCCATGGATGACTATAAAACCCCTGGATGACTAACCTTGCAAGGCCTTGAAGCCCTGTAGAGGCACCTTGGAGGTCCCCGTCACAAACTGCAGTAATCTCGCTCTCTTCTCCTCGTCAAACGTCTTGATGGCTTTCCAGAACCAGACCACTATGTCGCTCTCTTGGTTGCACTGCTTCAGCCTCGTGTTGCTCTTCCAGTCCTCTAGGTCTATCTTGCCCAGGCCGTTGATTAATAACTGGTTGGAAAATTGATGAGAAAAAGGGACAGGGAAGAAGAGAGTAATTGTCAGGAAAAAAATTGTAAGAAGAAAATGCAACACCTAAAAGGACAAAGTAAATGTTCTCAAAAATAATGCTGTATTGACAAAAGTTGACGTTTGACGAGGAGAAGAGAAATTGTACTTCTAATAAACTTGGGGAGACAGCATTTATGGTAGCTGGTCCTCAGTTTTGGAACCAGTTACCTGGTCACATTAGATGCCAAGAAACACTAGGGAGTTTTGAATGCGAGGTGAGAAACTTTTATTTCAGAAGGCTTTTTATGTGTAATTGTAATTGTGCACGCGGTGATTTTTAATGGTTCATTTGAAATTTAGATGTTTAGCCTGTAAATTTTGATTGTGTAATGGTTTTCCTCAATAATGGTATAGTATTGTAGTTTTGATTCTAATAATACAGTTTTATTCTTCATGTAATTTGTATTGTAATGCGCATTAGAACATATGTTTATGCATTTTGCGCAATATAAATGCCATTATTATTACTATTATTATTATGTAGTTGTCTTACAGCAAAACTGAAAAAACAACAACAAATGTCCTGTTTTATGAACTATGATTTACTGCATAATTTGCAAAACAAAAAGTGACAAGTAAAACTGCACAAATATTAAAAGGACTCTGGTCTTGCGAACATGGCGAATAGTAGGGCAGATAGGTGATGGGATTGTGCCTTTGATGATACAAGCATGGCATTTGGCACACAGTCAGAGTATGTCATGAGAAAGATATTTGGCTATAGGGCCATCGCAGATTTGTCCTTTGAAAAAATATAGGTAGAATAACAAGCAATGGCAGCCATTTTGAAAAATTTTGAAAATTGCTTATTATACCTATATTTTTGAAATGACAAATCTGCGATGGCCCTATAGCCAAATAACTTTCTTAAGACATACTCTGACTGTGTGTCACATGCCATGCTTGTATCATCAAAGGCACAATCCCCCAAATATTTCCTCTATCTGCCCCACTATAAGGAACAATAAGCAATCAATCAATTTAACCCTTTGTGATAACGGAAAGTATCTTCATTCAAAAAACACAATCAGACTTGACATTGCTGTCTTGATTTTATGACTGTGTACAGATAATAGTTTAAACCAGCAACTTGACAAAATCTGTCTTTTGAGTTTGTTGTTTTAAGTACATAGAACTATACAAAAACCTGGGATCATACAAATCAGATTTGCAACTGCAAAAATGTGAAAATGAAATACAGTCCAAATAAATGGAACACCCAAAAATTAAACTACCACCAAAAAAAGAAGAAAAAAAACATATTTAGAGTACAGGTAATATGCCTTTTTTTGCCAATCCACGGTTGGCATTTTTTGCCCACCATAGGGCGGCAAAACTATAAAAGGCCAATGTTGCAAAAAAAACCAATAGTTGCTAACGGTTATGAACATATCATTGAATTGCTGAAAATACAAAATAAACACCAAACGCTGCCAAAGACTTAATAAAAACACCTATTTCTTAAATAATAAAAAGGGTGCTAAGGCCGAAAAAAAAGTCTCCGGTTTCTGGTATGGAGCTTGTCCAAAAAGTGGTGCGGCGACGCGGCTTTTTTTTTTTTTTTACCCGACTTTTTTGCTTCAAATTTGCTTCAAATGTCGGCTGATGACTGCAAATGGTGCCCGACTAAACTTAGTGCAAATATATGGGAGTCCAGAGAGGCCACATAAAGCTTATTCTCGATCATAACCCCATCTAAAAACACGTTGAAATTGCGCAGCAGCAGAATTCCAGTCAAACCAGTAAGTTTGGCGGTTTTGAGACATCATCTTTCATTGAAAAAATAACTTTTTCATTTTGCCGACGCGCATGGCTACGGCGACGCGCGCGCATACCAGAAACCGGAGACTTTTTTTTTTGGCCTAATATGCAATTTTTTGTCCAAATCTTTTGCCTATTGGGACTTAAATTTATGCCCTTGTGGCAGCCCATACAAAATGGTGCTTGATCTTAACAAACTGAAAGGTCTTTACTAAACCAGTCAAAAAAGCAGAACACTAATCACCCCTCCCTAGGATGGGTGAATAAGTGGGCTCCACACAGGTGGTTTGTTTGACAGGACCATTACCTCTAGTTCCCTCTCATCAAACGGCTTGAGCAGGTGTTGCGGGATGAGCTCATTGGCGCCTTTCTGTAAGGCTAGGAACTGTGGCTCGATGCCACGCAGGAATCGCCACTGGACAAACAATCTAAAGGTCAAATCAGGAGAAAAAAATGATGAATAAGCAACCTTGAAGGTTAAGGTGTTGTATGTGTGTGTGTGTTGCGATATCTGGGTTTTTCTAGAAATTCAGGGTCCAAAGTGTGACATTTTTCCTGTCTCTGTTAACTTGGTACTTTGTAATTTTCCATTCAAATATCATTAAAGGGAAAATACAACATTTGCAAACATGTGAATGACAGTCTTAAGCATCCTGTAAAATCATGGCACCTGGTGTGTTGATTGGCAAGAGAAGTGGTATTTTTGTATCAATTTCCATGGCCGGCCGACCAGCGTTTGGAAAAAAAACTGGCTTTTTTTTCAAATACTGCCCCCAATTTACCATTATTTAGTTAGTCCACATTTAAATAATGCAATGGATTACACACCTACTAGTATGAACAGGTACAAGCCAACTGGACTAGTTCCAAGACCTTACAATTCTCCAACACCTATAAATTGCTCCGTTTCAACTTAAATGGGGTTAGGGAACCAGACTACAGGAACATGATTGTTTTTCTTTCTTTTTTCAGCATTAACGTCCACAAAACTTCAAACAAGTCAGTGTAACAATATCTGCTCTAAAATACTTACCCCCAAAATCCATCCATTTCTGAAAATTACAGCAAAAGCAAATGTTGTATATTCCCTTTAAGAATCACTTTGAAAGTTGTATATTTGTTTTGGTAGGTAGTTTGTTATTCATAATCACTCTTGGAGGACGATTGCACTAAGGAGTACATCAGAATCATAAAATCATAGATGTCAGATGTAACAGGGACAGGAAAAAAAGGGGGCGTGCCATATTTTCAATGGGGAGCGCTGATAAAATCCTACAATTATGCACACTATATTTAAATTAGCTATTACAAAGTGTACATACTGCAAGCCGAAATATCGTTTCTAAATGGTTCCTACTAGAGACGATGACATATTATATGGACTCAAATGTCAAAAAGCATTGTTTCAATTCAATCTAGTTACAATGCAAAGGAACACAGGATCGTTTGCATTTATCCAAAAAGTAACCTACCGAATTATTGTTTAAAAGCCTACTTTGATTACAGATTGTACTGGTACTAAACACCACATGAAATTGTTGTCTCGCTTGCTGTCATTTAGAAGAAATCAAGAAATGTAGATGATTTCCAACGATCAGTCAACTGACTGATTTTTGGAAATAACGAGTGCTACTGACAAATTTATGTTTCGTGATCAAAAGATCATGCATGCTTTTCACTGTTTTACAGTGAAAAGTGTAATATCCAACAAGCTGAAACTTCAACATGTTAGGCTTTGAACATTCTCCTTTGGATTTTGAGTGCTGTTATTACTGGAAACGAAAAGCAAATGATTCCATATGCCTTTAAGTTAATTAACTACCCCATCTTTCTTTTCAACTTTCAGGATATCATCTACATGCTTTTTGCTTCCTTTGCGACTAGCTTGGAGTATGTTTTTGTGTCATCACTGTCTTGACTTACTTGACATACTCCTTCTTGTTCTCCTCTGTGACCGGGATGTTCTTGCCGTTGGGTTTCAGGTCGTGAGTCTGCATCTGGCCGAAGCTATAATGCTCCACGGCGAATGTATTCTCAATCACGTCCGTGATGTCGTTTTCCCTAAAGTGAAAAAAACAAAGACCCACCTTGTTAAAAATCGGTACCAATTTGCAAGGGGAGCTGAATAAATGCAGTTTTGATTTTAAGGTGATATCTGTATCAATTTTGCAAGGGGAGCCGAATAAATGCAGTTTTGATTTTAAGGTGATAGATTTTTTTTGGTCCAAACTGGCTTTCAACTGAATTTAATGTTTAGTTATGGAATTGAAAGTACACTCAACCAAAAATGAAAGTCCCCCACTTCCAATACTTTTCGTCTAACTCAAAAAACTACTGAGCACCTCTCGCTCAAATAACGACTAATCAGTGCAGAAATTCCTTAGCAATCCAGCCATACTCTTTATTTGGCCCCAAACAGTGATAATGTGTGCAAATCTATGCAATTTATGACAAATGGTACTGAAAACAGTTGCACATTTGTATACGTGCAAGTTGTGGTTCACACTCACCTTGCACGCATACAAAAGTGCAACTTTGTCATAAATTGCATAATTTTGTGCACATTATCACTGTTTTCCGCCAGACAAAGAGTATGGCTGGATTGCTAAGGAATTTCTGTACTGATCAGTCGTAATTTGAGTAAGATGTGTCAAGTAGTCTTTGAGTTAGACAAAAAAGTACTAAAGAGGGACTTTCTTTTTTGGTTGAGTGTATTATGCCATCCTGTTCTTGTTTTTCTAGCGAGAGTCTGGGAAGTCATCGGTACGTATCACTTGTGGTGAACACTTGTAAGAAAATACGACAAGGAATTTCAGTTTCGGAAGTAGGAAGTAAGGTCCAGAAAATATTTCCTTGAGAACCCATATAATCAAGGCAAGACCAAATTCTCAAAACTCAACAGTGTCAGTCCTATTACAACTTGTAGTAACGCTAACAAATGCACAAAAAAAACCCCACTTTTTTTTTAATCTCAGAAGATCTTTAGGGGGACACTAAATACTGTTTTATTCAAAGCTTGCCTGCCCTAAGACGCAAGAGCAGCGTACAAAAATCATTGTGCTTGTTTCCGAGGGAGGAAAAGCTATGTGTTTTTTTTTCTTTTTTCGTCTAGTCATGAACAATTCCTGAAATACAAAATTACTCCAAAATCTGTTTCTCATGTTTACAGTGATGTTTTGGAACCATTTTTAGAGTTTATCCTTAAAGTGGCCAATTCCAACATTAAGAAAGAAAGTTTAATGTCAATGACAGAAACAATTGTGATGCGATCAAGCTAAATGAGTCGTCTGTCGACCCTGGTCAATTTTTCTCTTTTTACAGATTTGAAAAGAGCACAATCTCAGTATTACTGCTGTGAAAACTGCATGCTGATACCATCTGTAGTTCACAAATTATGGAAGTCGAAACACCAAGAGATGTGATGAAGTGATGTGATGAAGTGGCCCTATTTTGGCCTAAATCTCCAAATGAAAATTCCCAACAAACGACTCATTTAGCTTGATCGCATCACAATTAACCATATGTAATGAATGATGCAGAGAAATGGTCCAAAACTCCTAGTCGGTAATCTCCTTGACCATTACTAGATGATGGATGTATAAGATTTGAAAAATACATTTTAAGGTTATTCACTGAGCTCATAAAAGCTCTGTCACAGACATAACATAACGCTGAGATTGCCTATCTATTATCGTCAACCTTTAAATCCGAGTATCAAACTTACAGCATCCAGACTAGACTCCTGTATACCTCAGGGTCCACGCATTCCATGTCTTCCAAGCTGACGGGCTTGCCTAGGAGTTGCTTGTAGAAGGGCATCGTGAAGCCTCCATCGATGTAGTGGCCATGGAAGATGGCCATGCCGATAATACGCCCCACAAAGTGGAAATAGGACAAATGTTCCTGCAAGGAGGGAAACAAAAAATGGAAGATTGTAAAGTCACTGATCCAACAGAACTCTTGAGACGTAATTCGTCATAGGTCAATGGTAATCTTGCTTGGGAACTTGAATGCTATTTTTACCCTGACCCTTAAACGCATATAGGATCATCTGCTTTTCATGGATTTTGCTTGTTTCTAATAACACCCCTCAAAATCCCAAGAATGTTCAAAACCTAACCTGTTGAAGTATCAGCTCATTGATAGCTTTCATTTTCGCAACTAAGAAACATTCAAAACTGTACAATTTTCTTTTTTTTACATACATGTAAACTTTAAACAGCCATATCTTGGCACACAGGAAAGTCTGATTGAAGTGCAACGAACAGTATTGTGAGGAGAATTTTATTCTCTTTCCTAATACCCACAAACCTTCATTTTGACTTCTGCCCAGGGCAAAGCTCTGTTTACCGTAAGCAAAAAATCCCTGCTTACTGTAGCAGAAATTCTGTGCTTACGGTAACCGTATTTCAAATGTTAGCGAGCAATTTTGGCTTCTGCGCATGTGTACATCCCGTTACTAGGGATTCTGTGCTTACAGCGTTAGCACAGAATTTTTCAGCTAGCGTGGTTAGCACAGAATGGTGATTGTAAGCACGGAATTCTGTGGTTAGCAGAGCCATGTAATTGGGCCCTGTTCTGTCTCATTTTACCAGACCGTCTCACTTATTGCTGACTTCACCATGCAATCACTCACTCACTCACTCAGCCGCAAAGACAAAGCGTTGGCCCATCGTGCTGATCTCCTGTGCCCACGTCGAGCAGCTCGGTTCCATGCAATGCAAACCTTACTTGGGGAGTCAGGTTGGCGTAGCGGTACTTTCCTCGCCTTCCACCGCTGTGACCCAGGTTCGAATCCTGCCCGGGCCAATATGTGGATTGGGTTTTCAGTCCCTACCTGATTCCGTTGGTTTTCCTCAGAATATTCCTCTATGCTTTTCCTCCCACCTCTAAAAAAAACCCTGTAAATTCTTCTCACTGTCTTCTCTCTACAGGTTTCTTCAGGCTTTCCAGCTACAGTGCCTAGGGCACTTTTGAGGAATCCTTGGTTTCATTACCAGAAAGAAATAAAATGAAAACCTTCATATAATTGAAATTCCATGCACCTACCGGGTTAATTCCTGAGTCTGGGTTGATTTGTAGCGTGTAGATATCATCCCTGGAGTACTGGAAGAGACCATAGTACGGGTTGAGCATCTCGTGGGATAGGAGGTACAGCCACTCCCTGGCGATACCACCGTAGTCCAGACCTTCCTCCGACTTGAATTTGATCATCAGTCGCTTCCGGAGGTCCCTGGGTTTCATCTTCATGACTTGCCGGTACGATTCCTAAACAAACACGTCCAACAATATAAGTAGACATTTCAAGGCATTCTGTACTATTTTTCGAAGTTTTGGCCTTAACCGAGTCAAATTGATTGCTTTATTGTCCTGATGTTTCCTTCTATAAAACATTGTGTGTTTACGGAGAAGCCTTAAAAACTATCCAGGTAGGTAGGTAGGAAAATAATTTTATTTTGTAACTTTTTGTGTATTTGTCTCAGTCTTTTACACTTTTATATGTTGTTTACTTTAGGATACCATTAACACTATTCTGTTGTTAAATTAGTTAATTTGTTTAATTAAAACTAATAAACACACACAAAAACTAGCATAGGGAACACTGTTTTTATTTTCAAAATAAAGTATATTTCAAATTTCTGGCCAAATATGGCAATACAAGTTTTTGAGGCTTTAGTTTCATCTTTAGTACTTCCCAATTTTGATTCCTAACAATTTGGTTAAACACAAGTAGAGGCAATTTAACTTGACAGAGGTTTGAGATATTTTTCGTTGAAAGAAGTGCATGATGACATAAAAGAAATATGGACGTAACCCAAAGAAGTGACTTTCATTTAATTTATTTTGGTTCATGCCGACAGGCGAGGTTCACATGTCGACTAATTTTAGTTCAAAATGTACGGATGGAGTCTCACAAAATGATTAGAAAAGATCTGACAAATGGTCGAAGCAGAAGGTGTGAGGTATTGAATGATCAGAGACATATTGTCCTCTTTAAGACAAACAACCTGAAAACACACCAGCAGGAAATATCATCTGATGAAATGTTTTCGTTCTCCATCTGAGTTGGAAGCATTCCTCTATGGATCTAGACGGTTTTATATGATGATGGGTATCACATGTCGAACGTGGCACGCCGTTTGTGTATTTTGTCTGTGTGGTATTGAGGCTTTATGACATTTTTCACAGGATCTGTTCGCTCTTTTTTAGCGGCCATACTAACCCTTGCAAATAGGGATTTTTTTATTTCATCGTAGTTATTTATCTTTCTTGCAAAAAGGTTTATTTTGAGTCACATCTGGAAATGAGTGGGTAATATGTAATTGTGCATTATCTTTACTAGGAAAGTTTTCCTTTATTTAATTTTGTTTATGATTTGGAGATGTTAAAATTAATCAATGTTTCTGTATAATTACTCAAATTCAATTGCATTCAAAATCAGGATTAACGTTTTGGGAAGAAATCCATATGTGGACATCACTAAATTTTCCCTGCAGTGACCTATCAGCCATCAGAAAGCGATAACATGTCCTAAAAAGTCAAATTTTAGCAGGGAAAATATTGAAGCATTTACTGAGAAAACACATAGAATTTTTCAGACCAGTCTCATAGGGCTTGTGCACAGGGTGTCAAGTGATGTCCAAGGTATAGAACTCTTTCCAACGTTTTACATGCTAATGTATATTTTAAGGAAAACTGATTTTGCAAAAAAAGCACTGAAAATCAACTTAATTAAAAAACCTATTTCAATATTTTAGGAAGGGGTAAATTATGTCAGTTGCTAAAAAAAAAAATCAAACAAGCAGCACTCTTATTATTCACACACTAAAACAGAAGTGTGTATTTGCCTCAAATCGGGGACCCCCTATTGTCCCTCTTTTGTTTGTACTACTAACTTTTTAGGAAGACCTCCCATATGTTTTGTACACAAATCCAAATTGGGGACCTTCGGGAATTGGGGACCCTATTGTCTGCTATTGTTCAACGTCCCCTACTGACTGCAGAAACAAACTCAGCCTTACATACACATAATGTGGGGAAGACCTTTGTTTCCCTTCTTCTGGTCTCCTTTGTTCCCATTGAAACTCAAACTCCATAGTGTTTCCCTTATGGGGCAGATTGATTTCTAAAGACTTCCTTGCGGGGTCTATTGTTCTACTGTGTTTTCTACCCCATAAGAAACTGTGATCTGATACACCTTGCCCTCTGGAGACATGCACACAATAGGGAACAAAAGATTGTATCAATTCCACAGGGCAATTTCTATAGATGAACACGTCTCCACAAAGTTTTCACGAAATAGATAAATGGATTTTACTCAAAAACTGGGGATTTCAAAGGTATGTTGATCTGTCGACATACCTAATGGAAGAGTTTTAGAAAAGGGATATTAAGTCCGAGTTTCAGCCAAGGAAATTAATTCTGGTTAAAAAATAAGAGCATTTTGAAACTGTACTTTCAAACTTGAAAACTTAAGTGCAGGAGAACAAAGAAATGTCTCCACAAGGATACAAATTTCAGTATGCGTGTACGTGAACATCTTATTGTTACACATTACCACAGACACACTAACTATCTACCATAGTGTCTTTAGTCTGTCATCATTTCTCCTTTCACATTTTGCTGCCGAACCTTTCAGCTCCTTACCTCAAAGATGTTTTCTCTAGACACTTCTAATCTACAGTGTCCTGTCTGGGGTTGTAGTGAGGAGAGTTCTGCATGTAGTACCTTCAGTTTCTGCACAACGTCTCTGGTGTACTTTGGCGCTTGCGTCGTCTCAGGATTTCCGTTATTGGGCCTGTCAAAAAAAAAACACAAAATGATAATTTGAGTGGATGAGCTGATTTATTATATTACTTTCAAAACTGACTCTGATCCAGATCAAAAAATTAAATTTTATTCCATAACATATGCAGTATAAAAAAGCCGACAGATTGTTGTAGATGCAAAGTTAGAGTGACAGCCTGTCACAAGTACATGTATTATGGCTAGTAACCTTATCCTGCTAAGCATACTTTGCCAGTGCTTAGCACTTTTTGGCAGTGTGGGATAGTGGTTTGGGGTTGAAACTGTAATCCAGCTGCTGGTTATATATTGTGTCCTTGGGCAAGCCACTTCACCCCCACTTGCCTCTCTCCACCCAGGAGTATAAATGGGTACCAGCATTAGCTGGGGAGTAATCTGCGATGGACTGGCACCCCATCCAGGGGGAATAGATTTTCTCATTCGTTTCAAGCCAAGGAAACCGGAGATTTACGCCAGCCTGGTGCGCCACATTATTGGCTCGTGACAGACTTTACTTGGCAAATTTCTGTGCAGCTCAATAGAAGTGGCCCCAGTTTATCAGATCTTCTTCCTTTTACTCACTTGTTGAGCGCCCGGTTAATTATATTGGCGTCTAGTCTGGGGTCTGTGAATTGCGTGGTTCTGCTGTTGTGGTCTACATAGTAGACCCTTGCTGTCGGGGTGTGCCGGACCTCCCAGCCCGGCGGCATGGTCCCAAGATCCGCCTCGTTAACCGTGAAGTCTCGGGGTAATCGCGGATCGTGCCACGTGCTGATTCCGGTCTGCGAGTGCAGGAAGTACACCTGGCCTTGCGCCGTCGTCCTTTGCTCTGGAAAATTAACAGAGTGAATGACGAAAACAGGTGAAAATTGGGATTGAGTGATGATTAATTTTGCCGGATCAATCCTGACGAAAAAATATCTCTTGCTTTCAATACACAACCTATGCTGGATGAGCTACATATCAACATCAGTTTCAGGAACCATCTTACCCATTATTTTAAGCAAAGTATCTTTCTCTTTCTCAGTCCCGACCAGCTATTTTTCTTCCTATTTCCTCCTAGTATTTAGTCTCATTATTATGTAAACGTTGACCCCTGTTGTCTGTATGTTTGTCAGTCCATCCTTGGCTATTGTTTGTGCTTCATTTGGTCTTGTCTCTTGGTTTGTCTGTTTTTCTTTAAATTCTTTGAAATCGTTTTTTTTACGGTTTTGCATTTAAGTATAGACATGCCCCTACAAGCTTCGGCTTTTTCAAATCACGCCACCATCTTAATATAACTAGCTTTTGTTGTCATGATGCTTTTACTTTGCTTGGATGGAAATAATGTTATTGAAATTGAAAAAAAAAAAAATATTCTAAATGGATTGATTTTTGTAAAAGGTTGCCCAATGGGATGGTTTTAATTCTTGTGGTTTAAAACACATTGAATGTATGTATCATTCATAAAAGTCTCTCTTGTACCTTCAAAACAGAAACCTGGAATAACAGTTCTCGAACGAGCAACAAATGGATTTTAACTCCGAAACAAATCACTTCAAATATGACCTGACACGAGACAAGTTCAGTGCATATTACCCTTTCAATCAGTAATGTCCACATCATTGACAACATGAACAATATAGAATGCGGTATGTAAAAGGCCTGCACTGCCCAAGACTGCCCGATCACACTACTGGCTTTAATATAGATTCTTCATGGAATAAATACACTGTGATATAATGTAGTACAGGTGCTGATGGGTTAAAGGGAATTTACAACATTTGCGAACATCAAAAAAAAAAAAAACTAACAAATTATCGCGAAATACATGTACCTTACTGGACTGTTAAAAATGACAGTCTCAAGCATCCTGTAAAATCATGACACCTGGTGTGCTGATGTTTTCAAGAATAGTGGCTTTTTTTTCAAATACTGCTCCCAATTTATCATATGTAGCTAGTCCGGATTCTGTTTGCAATTGATTACACACCTATGAACGGGTACAAGCCAGCTAGACTGATTCCCTGACCTTCCAATCCCTCGACGTCTATAAATTGCTCCGTTTCATCTTAAGTGGGATAAGGGAACCAGACTACAAGAACATGTTTCTTAGTTTTACAGCATCTACGAACCCAAAACTTCAAACAAGGCAGTGTAACAATATGTGCTATAAAATACTTACCACCCAAATCCATCCATTTCTGAAAATTACAGCAAAAGCAAATGTAGTAAATTCCCTTTAAACAATACCTGATTAAATGCCTCATTGCTTCTCTATATCAAGAATGAATGATTGAAGAAAGTGCAATCCCCCCACTCCCCCCCCCCCCCCTCTTTCCCCCACTGGTGCAGCGTGGACCTGTTCATGTAGTTGAAAGTGCGATCTCCCCCCTCCCCCACTCCCCCCCCCCCCCCCGCGCCCCCCTCCTGCCCCCACACAAACAAATATCAAACAGGCAAACCTACCATAGCCCTCGGGAAGTTCCCTGCACTGGTGCAACGTGGACCTGTTCATGTAGTTCCGTAACCTGGAGGACTGCCGTCTACACAGCAGGTTGTTACTTGGGATGCTGCTGCTCTCCTGCCGTCTGGATAACGAGACGGGCCGGCCACGCCCGTTGACCTCTGACCCTGAGAGCGGAGGACTGTTGCGATTCGGTCTGCTGGAGCCGGCACATTCCGAGGCAGGTCTTTTCGAGTGAGGGAAAAAAAGTAACAATTTTTAACCTCAACCCTTAATCCCTGTGCACTTTGTTGCTGGAAACCCTTACCCTCCTAAATCCTCCAAAATCGACCAGGCAGTTTGGAGGATTTGGAAAGAATAAGGCTGAATGACAAAACGCGTCGGTTGATTTTGAAGGATGTGCTGTGTCAGGGTCTTCAGCTGTACCCAGCATTGTTTATGTTCAGCCATGCATAATTGGGGCCTACATTTTGTAAATTATACTGGACATCATCCGCACTGCAATGTTTACAGTCGTTGTAGGATTTTGGAGGGTAGAGGCAGTGGTCACCCCTCAATGTTTTACAGCAATCTTTGGAGGATTTTCAAGGAGGCAGTGGTGACCCCTCCACTGAACAGATTCAAGAAATAACGGAAGATTTTGGAGGATTGAGGCTGTATGCAAAAAAGCGTTGGTTTATTTTGAAGGATGGGTTGTGTCAAGGTCTTAAGCTGTACCCTGCATTGTTTATGTTCAGCCATGCATAATAGAGGCCTAAATTATACTGGCCATCATCCGCACTGCTCCTGGATATTGTCTGCCTCAATGTTTTACAGTCATAGGATTTTGAAGGGTAGAGGCAGTGGTCACCACTCCACTGAACAAATTCAACAAATAACGGATTGCTGTGGAGGACTGAGGCTGCATCCACTTGTTTTTACATGGTCAGTTGGAGGAATTTGAAGGATTGAGGATGGATCCTTGCAAAATTCCATCACCATGATCACAGTCGGAAACCCAACACCATGCATCAAGCCCTACCTAAAGTACTAGTAAATAAGCTCTAGCTTCCTCAATTCTGCAAAATCCTCAAAAATCTCCCCTGATGAATTTTAAAGTGCAATACATGTATGTCTGTAAGGTCTCAGTAAAACAATAATTTAAAAAAAAATTGGTAAAGGTTTTGGTGTGTAAAAACAAATCCATCAATACAGTTTAAGCTGCTTGATTGTGAACTACTATAGCATGTACGTGCTTTCTGTTGTTTTTTGGGTTTTTTTTTTTTAATCAAAAGAGGCAGCTGAGAGTGGAAAAGTACAACCATCTTGCACTCGCGGGTTGTCCCTCTAACATTGTTTATGCCTCATGGCTGTTTATGTCTGGCTACCTCATGTGCCTCATGGACTGTCTGGTCAACTGAAATATGACTGCCCGTGGGCGTGTTTATTAATATACAAGTCATGTTTGGAAAATGCAAATTCATAAGCTTTTTTTTTTTTTTTTATAGAAATTTACATCAGACAGTTGCCTGTCCCTGGGGCATCGGGGGTATTTCCATAAAGAGCGCGGAGACTCGAGCGCCGATGTGCAACAGAGAAGAAAGATCATAATGCATGTCATTTAATACACGGCACGACATTCGTGCATACATGTACATATTGCTCGGGATATCATACAGACCTTACGTGTGCTACAGTAACCCGGTGGGTTTGTACGAGCGGCTACGAAAATAAATAAAAATGTGAAATTCGAGCCGGCGCAGAATTCACGGGGGGAATTCATGTGTTGTTGGGTATGGATGGGGAAAAAGTAACTGAAATGATGTTGTGCACTCACTTTATAATGCACATTGGAACTTGCATAAAATTAGAACATGTCTGCCTCTCACAATAAGGCGTACGTAGACTGTACGGGTGTACATGTCTAATGATGACCTTACGCACACTAGCAATTAGGGCAAGACGAGGTCGTGAAAAATGATCTTCGTCTGGGGTTAATGATGCTCTTTTTTTTTGTAGGGGATTATTTTTCAAGTAACGAGAAGAGTTTTGCAGATGTGCAGTCTTTTTCCCGTCCAATTATTCTCGTAAAGAATTTACGTAATGTTTGGGTGCAAAGGACACATGAAGACTGTCATACAAAGCAAGTCTCTGCATCTTTCGAAATGTGTTTCTCCTTTTGCAATCCATTACCAGAAGGATTTCATGTATATCATTTGGCTGTTCTGTTGACCTCATAAAAAAATTGTGTAGAAGTATTGACAACAAACGTCTGCTTATACGTTTAATTGTGGTGGAGACCAGGAAGAACAAAAAACCAAGAAGCACCAGTTGTAATATCAAAACAATAAGCCATTTGCGAGTTAAATTTGAATTAAATCTGGAATGCTAACTTAACCAATGCTTTGCATGTTTTAACTTTGCATTCTCCCGACCAAAGAGACTGTTACTATATCACGTGATTCGGGGCAAGCCTTATGCTAGCAACCCCCAGCTCCGGCACGGTCTGGTGTCTTTGTGCCTTTCTCGCCCATTGTGAACAATGTATTGGTGCTGAGCGTCTCTTACGTAACTACATGTATGCAAGAGCTTGCCCCGAATCATGTGTTTAGCAACAGCGTCTTTGGTCTGGATGATTCAAAGTTAAAATGTGCCAAGCATTCTGAGCAAGTCAGTGTACCAGATGTTTTTCAAATGTAAATCCCAAAGGGTATAGGTCACTCGCAAATGGCTTATTATCCATGGTGTCAAAGGGTACATGTACCGGTAACCTGTTATTTTTCCCTGTGGCAACATATGTATCATTCTATAAATCTAGGGCCAAAAGAGTGACATATTTCCTGTCCCTGTTAACTTAATACTTTGCAATTTTTCATTCAAGTATCAACCCTCCTGCTGTCTGAACAGTCACAGACAGTCAAAAAAAATCAATCCTCTTCCCCTGCCATGCCTTTTACACAGGCCAGTCACCAACATAAAATTATTGATTTCAATCAAGCACTGCGACTAGTCCAATTCAGTCAACAGACAAAAAGCAGGCAGGTGGTAGGCACAGCTGGCTTATCAATCACCTACAGTCAAAGCATAGCTGCATCAAGTGACATAAACAGTCACAGCCAGTCAATCCTACTTCATGTAGGCTGGAAGCTTTTAACTGTTAGAAATAGTCACTTGATTGATTTTGACTGAAAGGACGACTTTGCACAGAATGTATGTTTGCATAGGAGGGTTAATGGGACATCTGAATTATAAAAAATCATAGATGTATGTCAGATGTTACAGGGACAGGAAAAAAAGCGGACCCCAAATGTATAGAGTGACCCCTATGTAACTCTTTTCATTTTTTACTTGGGGAGGAAAGTAGAAACAGATACACACACTATATGTATTTTCACATTTATATACGTAAAACACCATTTGGAAATGATGCAGCGATGCGTTTCACCAGACAAAAGAAAACACGAAAGCTTCAGTTTTTTGCATGGTAGATAGTGAGCTCCAACAACGTTGCTTGGTTGTTTTTTTAACTTCTGTGAAGCTATTTTTATCAAGCTAATTTAACAATGGGAAAAACAATGCTTGAAATGGGATAGTTATAGCTATGTAAAAATACATTCATTGCGGAATGAATTTTCAAATGCTCGCTCACCTTGTTGGTCGTTCCCATTGTGTTGCTCTAGTGATGTGATTTACAAAGTACACTCTACCCGACGTTGACGTTCTCTCCTCCCATCTGGACCAAAAAATAACATAAAATTTTTATTTGTTTCTATTAATAACATTTATGCGTTCAGTAAACCGAATCATTAAAAATCATGTCAGTCAAGACTGCACAACACTACACAGCAGGGCAAAATAATGCAATTTTATAAAACCATCTGTGGACTCATATTCAATGCTTGTGTTGGCACACTCTAAGCAAAATAAAGTACAGTGGCCTTCTTTTAACTCTCTTTTCCAGCAGGCTGAGGGATTACTTGAATTTACTTGGATGAACACCAAGTTGAGGGGCAAATTGCATTGAGCTGCTCAAGATGAAAAATATTTAACCCTAACTCCCTAGGCCTGTTTGCTAGGGTGTAGCCTCAATCCTGCAAACTCCTCCAACTGGCCTCATGGGAAAATAGCATATAGCTTCAATTCCTGCAAATTCCTCCATTATTTCTTGAATATGGTCTATGGAGGGGTGACCACTGCCTGAATCCTGCAAAATCCTGCGGCAGTGACTGTCAATATGTTGAGGCTTGGCCAGTGACATCCTGGAGCAGTACGGAGGATTTCAAGCATAATCCAGGCCTAAATGTATGCATGGTTGAGCAAAAACAAAACAAGGTCCGGCTCAAGACCTTGACAAAGTGCATCCTAAGAAATCAGTAACGCACTCTTGCCATGTAACCTCAATCCTCCAAATTCCTCCACTTTGGCAAAGAGGATTTTGAAGGATTCTGGGCGGTTAGGGTTAATTTCAAATTAAGATTCCGCTTCTGACTAAGCAATATATTTCCTGCAAATTGGCAGCATCTCCCTGACATTGATCCAAGAAAAATATCAACAATGATGCAAAATTTTGTACAATAACTACTTTGGGGCAATTCCACGGTAACGGAAGGACGTTTTCACTCATTAAACAAAATTTCAAATGTGTGTATCACAGACACTGTTCATAGTTACAGCAAACAAATGTCACAATTGTATTGCTATAATGCTACTTTCATTTTCCACACTTTTGGGGGGCATGAATGCCTCCCGTTTGTGAATTATGAATATTAATGAGGTCGGTAACGGAAGGACGGTAAAACGGACAAGGGTTTTCCAACTTACTCGCATTTTGCGTAAACTCTGTGAATTTTATGGGGCAATTATATTTTAAAGCTAAGAAATGGAATCCCTGAAGCTTTATCTATACTATACCGCCTTTCATTTGACTTTAAGTGTTTCGGTAATATAATTACAACGTTTTAAGCAGATTATGATTTGGTAACGGAAGGACGGTAACGGAAGGACAAAAGGTTTACTCAATTATAGCATGAACAAAATGTGAATTTACACTAATTATACAAGTGAAACAAATTGCTGAAATGTGTAACTGAATGAGAAATCAACAATATGCAGACCTGGCATAAATAATTATACCCAAGAAACTATTGAGATAAAGATAGAAGCCTGCTAATTAATGATAACAAAAGAAAAACGAAAACAACCCAAAACACATAATTCACGAACACAAGACAACTACAGAAATGGACTTCAAACCCATCACCTCGATCCTGAAAAGTTTAAATACACAGTTTTTGAGCACTTGAGTATATTGGTGACATGTTCACCAACAACTTTTAATAATAATACCGGTAGGTTCAGTGGTTTACCTAAAGGGTTGGGGGGGGGGGGGGCGACCAGCCTAAATGTACATTTAAGGTAAAAACATCTACCGGTAGAACTGATTGCTTCAGTTAGGTGTTGCTTTTAATTGAACTCTAAAATCATTATTTGAAATCAAATTACAATGATTTAGAGTAGTAACAATTAATTTATAAACATTCAAACTGAAATTGTTAACCTGGGCATAATTTGTCAACGATTGCACCTCACATGTCTTACACATGTAAATTGAATGAAAGTGCCCCAAAGTACCGGTACTTTCTGCCATCTCATTTTTGACTTAATTTGCTTCTGCAATGACTTCACAGAATTTGTATACTTTCTCTATTGTCCATGAATGCTGATGGCAGCAACTTTATGATTTGATTTTCTGCAACAACTCCATACATACAAGTACTGGTACGTCAGCATATAAATGTATGTACATGTACATGTACATTGTACATGTTGTACATGCCTGTGCCTTCCTTTGTAATAAACACCTTGCCCTGCTTATCCAGCTTTTGTGAAGGTGGGTCACATGAATGTCCTTTCAATGCTCATTATACATGCATGTATTTGCAGTGATTTTCATTTTTCAAACATGAGCGCAAATGTCGTAACATTTGATAAAAATACGATTTGTCCTTCCGTTACCGTCCTTCCGTTACCAATTTGGTAACGGAAGGACGTGATTTAATTAATTGTAATTAAAAAACGAGAAGTACAGCAGTGTCAGTTATAATGTCATATTGAAGGCCTACCTAAACTTGCTTTGCACAATAACTTTCAATGCATTCATACTGCAAGTTTTAAAAATAAATTAAAAATATGTATTTTTTCGGTAACGGAAGGACATTTTCGAAGGCTGAAATATTAGAAGTCACTGAAGCGAAGCAAATTACGCAAAATGTTAAAAACAAGTTTTAGTCGGTTTTTCAAGACCAATACTTTCTCATGACAGAAACTGATGGCATTAGTACATATTTTTGTGTGTGTTTTGGTAGAATACTTTCATATCACTATTAATCACATTTTTAGGATTAAAACAGGATTATTACATAATCCTATTTTTTGGTACCGAAATGTATAAAAAATAAAATTCCGACTTCAAATCTTGAAAATATAGACTTTTAGCTTTCATTTGATGCCAAATTTGTTTAAGTCACATGTATTTGAATTTTTTGGTGTCATGTCCACTTTGGTGTGGAATTGCCCTTTGGCTAATCCATTTTTAAAAAAAAATTATCAAAAATCTAAAAATCTATAAAAAAAAAAAAAAAAAAAAAAAAAAAAATCAAAAATCAAAAATTCCACCCCCCCCCAAAAAAAGGAAGGAAAAAAAATCTCACCCATCTGGGAGTTCATTGGGGTCTGCCGGTGGTAGAGGTGGTGCGATACTCCTCGAGTCCACCACGGCGCTGCTTCCCGTACCCAGACCCCTGTCTCTAGACGTGATGCTGATGACGATTTGGCCCCGTATGTTATCATTGTCATCAGGGGTCTGTTTGCAGAGATCCAATCTTTGGTCTGCAAATATGGGAAAACAAAATTATTGGAATGAAATCGAGGTTGGTGTACAGGATTGGCCTTGCTGAAGTTCTGTCCACGGATCACAAAAAAGTGTGCGTTCTTTCAGCAAAACGAAAACAGTTCACTATGTGATTTGTTTTCGTTTTGCTGAAAGAATACTTACCTTCTTGTGATCCGTGGACAGAACTCTAAAACGGTGATTTTTGTGTTTAAAACTCCGTAACTTGAAAAGTACATGAGTGATTTGAATTATTCTTGTACTAAAAGAAAGCTTATGAATTGGGCTTTCATATCCTAGATTTTGAAAGTGCTACATGCAGAACTTCACTAAAACAATGGTCCCGACATTTGGGTTTCGTTTTTTTTGACTCACCCTGTACACCTTCAAACTTGGAATAACAAAAGTTATGGTAGATACATGTACGTGTACACTACACTTGCTATTTATTTGAACAACTCTCATTTTTGAAGAAAAAGATTTTGTACCTTGGTGCTTTTGTACTACATGTCCAAAAACAAAAACAAGTCGTACTTTTGATCCTAAATAACTCTGTTGTTTACAAATGGAATTCAACCAAAATTTCAGGTCATGTTTACAAACAAGGCATGACAAATTTTATGGAGCGAGTTTCATCAGCTTTGTGCAAGAGGGTCAGATTTAAACGCCATATGAAAAAAAAATAATCACTTTCAGAATCTGCCACTTTCGACTTGTCGTCCTCCAATGTCGATACAGCACTGGAGATGGTGGCGGAAGGCGCGTGCTGCTGCCGAAAGCTTCTGAAGGAATGCAGGATCACCCCTGATGTCATTGCATACCTCCTCGATCGTTTGAACACACGATCGATCGAGGAGGTGTGCAATGACATAAGGGGTGACCCTGCATTTCTTCAGAAGCTTTCGGCTGCAGCACGCGCCTTCCGCCACCGTCTTCTGTATCGACATTCTGAAAGTGAGTATTATTTATTATTTTGTTCGTGTGGCGTTTAAATCTCACCCTCTCCCACAAAGCTGATGAAACGCGCTCCATAAAATATGTCATGCCTTGTTCACATGATCTGAAATTTTGGTTTAATTCCCTTGGTAAACAACAGAGCTATTTAGGATCAGAATTGGGACCTTTTTTTAGGACACGTAGTACATGTATCTATGTTAATAATTTTAAAGAGAACACAATTAAAAACCAAGCAACATCAAGTGCATAAAAAATATTACCCCAGTCCCCGCTAATATTTTTTTTTTCTGAATTCTACACCCCGCGAGACAAACAGGCTTTCCTGGAGTATGACTGCATAACTCCTTCACTTAATGAGGCTCCGTAATGTCTTATTACGCATCTTGACAAACCGGGCACGGCACTCGGTCTAGACATCGCGATTACCCCATAACCCCTTCAGGAAATTGGACTAATATTATGAGAGCCCCTCGAGTACTAACAAAAAAAAATCTGCCCCGGCTGAAATTTCAAGCTGGAAAACCGCACATCTTTTTTTTTTTAAAGGATATCTTCCAATTTTGTTTTCAATTTTCCACTCAAGGAATTGAAAGGGTCACACATTATATAGCTGTGTACCCGAGTTAGGTATGCCATACAAAAGTGCAGTGTGTGTAGCCTTATATTAGGTACATGTATTATTAGTTATTCTAACATCAAACACTGATGGAAATCTGGGTGTCGGCGTGCATATTTGGACAAGCCGACGTGATCGCCATCCGTGACCACTGGCTGGCCAGGGCAGGATTTGATAAATATTTATTGATTTGTGATGTATTTGTGGCGGGTCAAGCAGGTCTGTGGATATGAACACATTTTTTTTTATTGAGTTCAAATAAAATTTGAAAAACTTTTTTCCAGTTTCAGAAGTGGAGGGAATAACAAGAAAGATTTTGTACCAGTTTTGGTAAATCAAAGAACTACAGGATACCTCTAGGGAAGAATGTTACATCCTGATGCCACTTCTTCTTTTTTTATCCAACACGTATATTATCTAAATGAAGGTCAGTCATTGCAAAATTTTTGAAAAGACATGAATCTGGGACTACGAAACATTTCTAACTTTGTAAGAAGACACTTTGAAAAGGCACTCAACTCGCCACTGACTTTGTACACAACCAAAGAAGTGGCGTCTGGATACTACAGTCTTTCCAATCTTTAGGGCAAGTTTGCTGAAAACATCAGTTAAAAATCTTTGTCTCACTTAAGATTGCATATTAAAGGTAACTGTACATGTAATACTCCATCGTAAATATTGTAATACATTGTATTAATTCTGGGAAGATATTTCACATTGGCTTTTCCCCCACCCCACTTTTTCATTTATGAATTTTTGCCTCACTTTTGGATTTCCTAATATAGAAATTGATACACACAGACATTTTGTAACAATCTCCCCCCCCCCCCCACACTTTCAGAGACATTCCACTGCCTGTCCCAATGCACACTGTACGATACACACACAAATACCTGTAAACATATCATTTAAAACCCAAACCTCCTTGGGTCTTTTTGCAGGAACAACCTCAATTCCGCCAAAATTTTGCACATGTTCAAATGAAGGATACCCACTGCCTCAATCCTTCAAACTCATCAGACAGTCCTGCCTCAAAAAAATGCATTCATCCTCAATCCTCCATAATCCTCCTCTTCTTCAAACAACACTCATCCTCCATCCTCCAAAATCCTCCAAAACTGCCATGAGGATATAATTAAATCTTGTATGTTTCACAGTCCAAATCCTTACTACACTTACAAGGTGTACTTGTAAAACTCTGGTTAAACACACAAACAAAAGAGTCTAATTTTTTCACACAATTTCATCATCTCAAACTTCACACACAACGTACTGCTCTGGTAGCAGACTGAGCAGAAACGTCTCCTTATCAGCTTGTGTTTTTCATCTTTCAAACTGTCAACTTCAAAATTGTTTCCTTCTTGTCAACGCTTCTAGTCACGTGGCAGGAACACCATCCCACCAGCGGGGTCGGTCGGGTGCCGAGACATGCACTTTTTCTGTTGTTATTAACGAATGAATCACCAGGAGCCAATAATAATCAGTCTCAGTCTCAACAACAACGGGCGAGAGAAGTCATAATCAATGAGCATTTACACTGATCACGGTGCAACACTGTTTACGTGTGTGTTCTAAGTGGCGGCCATTAATGCGGGGGAGAATGCCGTGAATGTTTGGAAGGGTCTCTCCCCTTCAGTCAAGTGGATGCACTTTTCAGGGAAACTATGCCAATGGGCCGAGGAAATGGCACAGTGCAAGACAGGTTCAGGTTCGGCAAGATGCTTAGTGGGCCAAGTCAGCCGAAAAATATTTTTGCGGAACAAACAATTGAAAACCACAACTTGCAGTTGATCACAATAATTCTTCTAGCAAAAAGCAATTGTCTGTATTACAAATATGAAAAACCTAGATTTCCAGTAGTGTCAAAAATGCACATCTATACAAAGCGCATATATCCATCACCATAAAGCCCTACTTCAATTTTTTGTAATGAGCATTTTCCATTTTCTTCCAGAAATTTGTAAATGTACTACAGTAATTGAGTGTTTCATTGCCACTTTTTGATAAGGAATTTGTCCTGCAGGCTTTTAACTCACATACCGGTACATGGCATACATACAATTTTCCCATTGGAAATAAAATGTACATCAACTCACTATTGAACTTTTCCACTAAAACAAGGTTGACTTTTTCAACCCTCCTGCTATTTAAACAATCACAGACAGTCAAAATTTGCATGGACACTCCCCCTGCTTTAACACAGGCTGGTCACCAGCAGTCAGATCATATGTCAGGCAAGCACTGTGACTAGTCAAACTCAGTCAACAGACTAACAGACAATTCAAGCAAGTTCTGGTCACAGCTGGCTTATCAATTACCCACAGCCAAAGCAAAGCTGTATCAAGTGACATAATATAACCAGTCACGGCCAGTCAGTCCTGCTTTATGTAGGCTGGAAATTCTTAACAGTTGAAAACAGTCACTTGATTGATTTTGACTGAAAGGACAACTTGGCACAGAATGAATCGGTATGTTTGCATAGGAGGGTTAAAGAGAATATACAACATTTGCAAACATCGAAAAACAAAACTAACAAATTTTTACGAAATACCGGTACCTTACTAGGATGTTGGTAAATGACAGTCTAAAGCATTCTGTAAAACTATGGCACCTGGTGTGAAGTCATTTTCAAGAAAAGTGGTATTTTGTATAAAATTTCCAACGGTGGTCGGCCGACCACCGTTTGAAAAACCTAACTATTTTTCAACTACTGCTCCAAATTTACCATTTTTTTTCCAGTCCAAATTGTGTTTGCTATTGGTTACATGTTCATGAACGGGTGCAGGCCAGCTAGACTGGTTCCCTTACCTTACAATTTTCCGGCATCTATAAATTGATCCATTTCATCTTTAGTGGAGTCAGGGAACCAGACTACTTGAACATTTTTGTTTTTCTTGGTTTTTCCAGAATTTTCGAACACAAAACTTCAAACATGTCAGTGTAACAATATTTGATCTTATATACTAACCCCTCAAATAGTTCATTTCTTAAAATTACGGCACAAGCCAATGATGTACATTTCCTTTGGAGTGAGCCACTTAAACACACAAAAGAAAGTATGCACAACTGGGACTACAGGAATCAAATCGTGAATCAAATCGTAAATACAGACCAAATAAAAAAGATTAAAATTGAAAATATTCAAGTGGTTCTCTCCGACACGAACATATGCTCATTGCATGCCAGCATGTCCAAGTTCTTCAAATACTGGCAACCTGAGTGTTATTAATTGAGCACCAAATTTGGAAATTACAAGTACCACGATGACAAATGACACCAGTGTCTGGAAAAAAGTTCAGCTCCATCCCGCATTTGTATGTATTTGGACATTAAAACCATCAGGCGTAGAACAATCATTTTCTTGTTTATTGCAGTGGCAATGTACTTTTTGACGTCTGTGCTGTGGTACAAGGGCCGGATTTACTAACAGAAAAATAATATTGTCATTCATTGTGGTACATCGGAAATGTTTTGGTTGAACCTACCGGTAGATTATACTAGAAGATAACACAATTATTCTTCAAATAATTAACAAAATCAATAAGCCATTTCACTCATGGGCAATTCTACGAATTCTATCCATCAATGAAAGAACTTCACAAAATCCAAATACCACAAATGACATATCATTTGGAAGCTTATTATCTGTTATTAAATGCACTTTATTGTTTAACAATGCTCAATAGTTCAGCTGTTACTTGCAAATGAAAAATTAATTAATGGGAACGCCCAAAAATTGATTTGTCTCAGTATGTTTGACGCCATGGTGTTTCAAACCGATTAGTAATTTTTATATATCATTGTAGTAACTAACTCAACTGATAAGTTTGATCAGAATTAAAATCCATTTTATGTTAATAACTATAATCATGTACGCTGTTGAATTCGGGCGATTCACAATGCAGTGCGCCACCAAGAGTTTGCCACAGAGAGTTCATTTTTCCCAGTGCTTTGTGGGAGATGGTCGACAAACTCACAGCGCGGGGCATTTGAAATTGATAGTTTGTCCGGTCAGCATTTTCGTAAGCGTATGATTCGAGTATCTGGTTGCCCTTTTCTTTTCTTGTTATCGATATATATTTTTTTTTTTTGGTAAGGCGGCAGAATGCTTTGCCCCGATCCTTAACAAATAAGCTCAAGTTGTCTACTGATACTCGTTCAAATGGGTCCTGTATTGTCGACCGTAAACTTGAGAAATGGACTCTCCGCGGCAAACTCTTGGTGGCGCACTGCATTGTGAATCACCCAAATTGTCCAAAATGTACGTCTGACACACTGTACATGTTCTACATAACCCCCCAGGACCGTCACACAAAGGGAGAACAACAGATCCTTTCAGTCCTCGGGAGTTGGGTCTTTTGTTGAAAATGATCCTCTGAAGTAAGTTTGTGTGCTTAGTCTATGGGAGAGTATTACATTACAGGTTTAAAGGGAAACACAAAGCATTGTCCTCGGGAGTATAGTAAAACAAGAGTGCATGGAACTGCCCGTTTGTAAACGTGCCTTCTTATGGGACCTTCTGTAGGCGAGGTCAGGGGGGCATTTTTTTTCCACCGAGCTCCCATAGGAAAGCACATCAGCGATTTCACATCAAAAGATTTTAACAGCAAATGAGGAACTTACATCCGGTATCTTTAAGTCTCTGGATGGCGTGGGATAGAATCTTGATGCAGCCGAGAAACCCAGCCCCTTGCTTCTTGTGGATCTTCCGATGGTTCCACACGCTGATGGTTATGCTGTCATTTTTACCTATAAATCTGGTAGGCAAAAGAAGAAAAAAAACAGGATTGTGGGAACAGATACTAAAGTCGCCTCACATTAAAATAGTAATTGTTTCCTGTGGAAAATCACTCCACACTGTGACAATAGACCTTTATCATGCTGCCACCATTTCAGTCATGTTCCCTGTATCCAATAACAGTACTGAATGATAAAGTTTTTTTGCGCTAAAATGAACCAGACTATTTTTCCTTCCAGCCTCGCTTTGGTAATGTTGATTTGAATGGGAAAAAATTCAAGATGATTGCAACATGATATTGGTCTATTGTATTCATTAAAGAAAATGGTCTTTAATTCACATGTTCAGATATTTTGAGCAATTTCAAGATCTTAATATTTAGTTTAAGTTCAGCCCGTAATTTTTGATGCAGAAGTTGCTTAAGATCAGTCAAATATGCTGTAGACAAGGATTAGTCTGAGCTTTAGTAATATATAAAAAAAATTTTTTAACAAAAATCACTGTGTGAAGGCCTAAAATTTGAGGTATACGGGTATTCTTTTTTGAAAAAAATAAAAGATCGGGCATTTGCAGAAATTGAACATTTTGCAGCGTTTGTATGTACATGTACATCCTTGCTAATATATAAAGTGCATTTTCCAAGCAAATGTAATTGCTTGATGTACACAACGAGTTCCATGAAGTTCAAGGCACTGTTGCGGTGTCAAATACACATCTTAGAAAGGTGTCAACTGATTCACTTTAAATGTGAGATTCTGGGAAGAAGCAAAGGTCATGAGACACCTTTCAGTGTGGTGTTACCTCCTCCGGTTATGGTTTGATTACAAACTTTGTAACTTGACTAGTATATGTGCGGCCCACGCCCAACATTTTAAGGATGAATTGCAGAGCTCAAGGCCTAACTTGTTTGAAACTGCGCAACAACGTTACGCTAGGTATTGACCAATTATGTTTGAATTTGCATTTTTGTGGGCCGTCTCCAGAAGATGACGCAAATACATCTACAGGTATCATTTTGGGGTAAATGCAATCAGGTTCCTGCAAAATTTCCTGCAGCACCATTGGTTTTGTTTTGTTTTATAAGAGCCATGTTTTTAAAGCCACAATCCTGGCACTTACAAGTCATAATGTTGGTTCCACTTTGGGTCTAAGGTCCCCTTGTAGTAATCGGTCGAGTGGCACTGCCCTGAGCCATCCACAACGATCTTGGCAAAAGGGTCCGGTAATCCTGAATGAGACAAATAAAATAGACAAATCAAACAAAAGTAGACAGGGTAACGTTTCGATTCCAGCAGAATCTTTGTCAAAACCCCCCCTCCCCCCAAAAAAAACCTTTTTTAGTTGTATATTTCACGTCAATCCAGTCAGCAAGCAGTTTGCTGCAGTTTCATTGATTTTCAATCAAGAATTTTGTCTATTTGTTGATTTAGTGATTGCCATCCTTTTTATGGCAAAATCTGTTTAAGTTACCGGTACATGTAGTTAAGTAAATAGTCATCAGCATTAGATTTTGAGTGTTTATATTATAGGATATTTACAAAATTGATACTGTTGATCCAAAGAACTTTTTCAAATTATACCTGTACATATATTGACATTTTTGGTCTTGTGAATTGTCTGTTTTTGATATGTGTATAGCATTTTTTATCATATAATTTTTTTTTTTAAATCTGAAAATTTGTACATCAATGCTTCTGTTACCATGATTCTGTGTGCATACCAAAATGACATAAATTACCGGTAGCAACATTGGCAGTATATTGGGGTTGCCAACTTGAACGATTTCTAAACCGGGATGAAATTTATAAGTGAATGGTAATTTTTTAACTGGCTTATTGCAAATCACCATCAAAGTAGCGATAGATAATTTAATCCTATCAGAGTGATGAGACTCAAACTGTACTATCATACCAGTGTAGCATGAATTTAGGTTTTATGAAATACGGACTCATTGGTGGTATTGCGCATGCTCATGCATAGATAATTAGGAGAGGGACCGGTCACGTGAGAGGGTTTTACCAATTAAAGGGAAAAAGAGTCCGATTTTCATACGAGTCCGATTTTTATGTGACACCGGTACCATGTACAGTACACTAAGAACCGAACAGCTGATTGTGCATTACACACAATTCATTTCTACTCAATGTTCTTGGAAAGCATTAAGGGGAACCGGTTGAACTTTACATGAACTTGAAAAATTGTACAGTCAACATGTAAGCAGAGAATTATGAATAACATCATTATCAAACGTGTCTGATCATCTAGACTATGGGCCTTATTCACGAATTGGCCATTTTTGTTGAGTTCCCTGAATGTATTTCATTAATTGTTAACTGTTGAATGGGATGGCGCCAGACTATTTATGCAGGCACAATGCAGCCTTATTTTACTGTCATTTTTTTTTCAAATCTGGCTTTAAACATTAGGGAACGTTTAATTACAAATTTGAAATTAATCATTGAAGCAGACTGGAATTAATTAGTAATTAAATTGCTTTCATTTCTCTACAAAATTTTCAGAAATCAAGATTTTACCTCACTCTCAATCCAATATGGCCGACTCGTGAATAAGGCCCATGCTTTTTTTTTATATAATCAAATTTCTGCTATACATGTACATGCATAACATTTCTACAATACACATGAATTCCACATCATATTGATCTGGCACAATCAAAACTATCATGATTACATATGAATCCAATATCATATATATGGTTTTCTTTGCTCATCATAGACCGAGTACCCATGAAAGCACTGCATTGCTCAAATCTCCATGAAATTAAATCTGCATGCACTGTACATGTAACAGGCCTTCCTTCTCCCACCCAGCCATCATACAGCAAGGACATACCGGTACTGGCCTACATGCATGCCATGGTCATGGGCACTCGGATCTGTTCTCTCTCTCTTTCTACCACCAGAGATGACCTGAATAAAGGTCAGACTCCGGTCAATTTCACACTGATCGGACACTCCGTATATCTGGGGATTTCTGTGGGAATTAAGCTGTCAGAGTACGGTCAATATATTCTGTCCACGGTGGGCATTATGGTCTGCCCGAATGGCCGAGTGGCTGGTTTTTCTGTTAATGTTAAAAATGTTCGGGCCTTTTTTTTGGAATGCAGGTATTTTTCCTTGTTCATACTGGGTACATGTAAGTGGGCAATTCCATGGAATTATAAACTTCAATACTGTCAAAACTTTTTAATAACAAAAATCTGAACATCACAAATGAAACATACCGGTATGTGTATCATTTGGAAGCTTATTATCTGTGGTTTATTGAAAAACATATTACAACAGTTCAGATTTTCACTGAAAACTTAATCAATATCAATTTGTCTGATTATGTCCAACACCATGGTGTTTTGAGCCAATTTCTACTACAGCAAAAAAGTTGGATGAATGTTTTCTTTTTTAAATCATTGTTGTTACTAACTTGAATGTTTAAGCAGAATTCAAATCCACTTTATGATTATAACTTTTTATTATGTACACTGTTGAATTGTTTAAAATGTATATCAGACACCGTGGCACTGTTCATTTCCCAGAATTGTTGAATTTTTGTTTTGGTTGAAAAAAAAATCTACAACATCACAAAAAGGAAAATTGAATGCCAGCATGCCAGTGAGTTCCAAACTTATCCACTCTCCATTCATTTCGGGTTTTTAATTAAAAGCACAAAAACACAAAGCACTGTCTGAGCAATCATTCTATTCTCAATACAGCCTTGCAAAGATCCAGACATGATATGTAAAATGTTTTGTCCAAGTCAGTTTCTGTTTCACAATTTCAGACATTTTGGATAAATGCAAATGATATTATGCCTTTAATATTATCTACTGTCCTGCGTACATGTATTTATGATAAACAAAACTGTATGGTTAGCTTCACATAATTGCTTTTTTCTCCTTGACTATTAACAACAGCAGGACCAGAAGGCATTGATAGCCCTGCCTGTGATTAAGAGTGAAATGAACCGTGACTATGACTGGTCTGTGGTCAGTGTGTCTGCCCAAAAAAAAGATAAAAATGGTCATCAACATCACGGCCAAAGTAATTGTTTACCCTCATGGTCAGTCTAGAGCCCAGGGGGGGGTTGACTCACTGAGGGGAATTATTGACTGATTGTTCAGGAGGAGGAATTGTTTGCGCTGGACTAGGCTGAAATAAGAAAGGATCAAAACTCTCAGATGGGAAGCGAGGGTCAAATTGGAATACTTACGGAAAAAGTCTTTCTTGGAAATGTTCTTTGCACATAACACTGTAGAGAGAAAGACAAAGATAGGAAATCGTTTAGAAATAAGTCTCATTAATTAACAACACAAAATATTAAACCAAAAAAAGAGACAAATCTGGATGTAGGGCAAGTACATGTACATGTACTCACTTATTCTTGGGGCAGTATTTTGTTGTTGTTGTAGATACGCGATAACCCGCTGCCGCGAGAGGGCATCACCATGACGAACCGCTATAACCCACGAACCGACAGCAACAACATCTTGACAATCTTGCAAAATCTCCCCCCCCCCCCTTAACATGGGGGAAACTAGTGCGCATGCGCTACTTCTGCAGGTAATCACGGTCCATTTTCAGTCCCACACGTACTACATGTACATACGGTAGCAGACCAGTAAATAAACTTCCATAGACCCGAATGGTAAATGCTCCCACTTCAGAAATTCGGGAAAAATACTCACAACTCTCCAAGGTGTTTGAGACTCACATCAAATTAAAGCTTATTTCATCATCTTTCATTTTCTTTTCAATTTTTGGGGGGTCAACTGATGACTTTTAGGAGAAATTTCCATCTGAAGATGATCACCCCTGAAAATAGTCCTGAAGCCCATCGCCATTTTGAAAAACGATGCCTACACTCCATTGCAAAATAGAGCGCTTTTAGGGTCCAAATTACATCCAAATTACACAGAACTGCAAGCTCCCAGTCCTGTGCACAGCTTCCACCCATATTTTTTACAAACCCTCAAGTTCATGGCCCACAGCATGCTCAAATACTGAAGATTTTGAGGGCATGCAAATTGTGATTTGGCCGGCGTAGGCAATTTTGGACCGATTTACTGGTCTACACAAGTCTTGCTGTGTTGTATGCGACTTGAGTTTGGTTCGGAACTACATTTGTAATATGAAAGGTTTTGAACGCGAGCTGCATCTAGATTAGGCAAAACAGGTGTGCACGCATTGCACAACCGCTACAACATTCCCAAGACGTTGTTGCTGGTGGTTCGTGGGGGATAGCGGTTCGTGGGTGATAGCGGTTCGTCGTGATAACGCCCTCTCAAGGCGGCAGGTTATCGCAACGCTGGGTTATTGCGTGTCTAAAACAACAAGACACATATTCACTCAGAAAATATTTTTGTACACTGAATATAATTATTGTAAATGATAGATGAAATACATGTTAGTCACTTCTCATCCAAAATCTCAAAATTGGGAAGGGGGAGGGGGGCGTGGAGAAAAAAAATTGTGGAAAAAAGGGGGTGCTTGGACCACAGCCAGACATCTCCAAGCCTGAAAGTAAAACCAATCCTCTTTTGTGTCTGGTATCTAAACTATGATTCTAATTTGCAGACAATACAGGAAATGTATCTGCAATTTTTGACACGCACATCTTTTCGATTAGTTTCGATTTCTCACTAGTGTAAATAACAACTTTTCCTTTCTCTTTCCAATACAATAAAAAAAATCGTGATTATCCTACGTACAGAGAAATTTTCTATGTAAATTACAAAATGAGTGTCTCATCTGTATCGAGTATTTCGAGAGTTAAAAATCTACATAAAAATAAAACATGTATTGCATTTTATGTCCTGCGTGTACAGCAAATTTTTGTTCAACAAAATAAAAATGGAAAGCGAAAAACTGTACAATTACAAAATGTATACACAAAGATGTACGGTGATACACGTAAATTTGCACTTATGGGTCTCCATGCGTTGTACAAGTGCATGTTAATTTCTTTACTCTATGATGTAAAATATGTATTATGCATGCACATGCCCATGTAAACATCGAACCTATGTACTGCCTAGTCACGTTCACCTTTAGTTTACTCATCAACCCAGGAATGCAATTTTCCGTCCAGACACACTCTACTTGTCAACCTCTCTCAGTGCCACAATACTTCAGACCAGACAGCACACACAGACTACAATTACAAGCCCAGGAAGTGGCAAATTCTACAGAGGTCATTTACACCTTCGTGTAAACGAACCCCCTACCAACTGTTGACTTTTTTCATAATTTTCTCTCTCTCCCACCCACCCCCCCCCCCTTCCCCCAGCTTGATCTGGTAAATATGTTTTTACCTAAAATGCATGTCTGTCGGGTGGGTAAGACAGTAAACACGAGGTATTATATGTAAAAGCGCAACGCAAGTGATAATGGACCATGTCTACATGTGTAAAGGCACGTACATTTGTGTACATTTGTGTATACAATGTACATTTGTGTACATAGTGACATGTTTGTAGCTCACTATTACTACGTACACAAAGCATGCATAGTATTGGCACCATGGATTGAAATAACAAGTAATGGTTTTTGTATTACATGTATTGCATGTACATTGTATATATATGAGGGATCCCCCCCCCCCCAAAAAAAACCCTTTACATGTAAATACAAACTACTCCATTATGTTCAAGAATCATTTGGGCAATTCCATTGTTATGGAAGAAAATGTAATGTCAGTGACGCTGACAGCTAGGCAATCAACCATGATACCAGTACATGTCTAATGAATGATTCAGAGAAATGATCCAAACCTCCTAGTCTGTAATCTCCTTGACCATTACTAGATGACGTGTATAAGATTTGCAAAATACATTTTCAGGTTTAAAAGGGTGAGCTCGTTCTTCCATAATGCTTGAAATGCCCACTTGTACATTTCCCACTTTCCAGCATGTAAGAAAATGGATAAATAGAGTGCATATATTTGCTTGTTTTATTTCCAAACTAAATTTTAGGAACTCTACCACATACAATGCACATGCTACTAGCCCCATAAATGTGGCCAATTTACTGGACTACCTCCGTAAATAAAGGCCACACTTCCACCATGTACAAAAACATGTCAAACTTTGTCAAATTTTGATTTTCACATTTAGGCTTAGTTTGTAGTTTATTTTTGCTTTAGAAGCATACTCACCCTCTGTATTGGCTTTAAATCAGAAAGTGCTGCCTTTTTCAGATGTCTAATTTTCGTGAAATTTCATGTTGAAATTTTGATACGCAATCGTGTGCAAACGAATCTGAAAATTTCACGAAAATTAGACATCTGAAAAAAGGCAGCACTTTCTGATTAGCCTAAAATGAGGGCGAGTATGCTTCTAATGCAAAAATAAACTACAAACTAAGCCTAAATGTGAAAATCAAAATTTGACAAAGTTCAACATGTTTTTGCACATGGTGGAAGTGTGGCCTTGTATTTACGGAGGTAGTCCAGTAAATTGGCCACATTTATGGGGCTAATGTGCTACATGTACCGGTAACTACATATCATTCATGTAAATTTGCAGTTGTTGACGAACCGTATGTATGCATGTTCATAAACAATGCATGCCAATTTTGCCCCAGGAAAAACTCCTTTGTAATTTCTAATGTGTTTCCGTTCACAACATCCCAACAATTCAGATCTTTGTGGACAGGAAACAAAAATTGCTTTAATAATCGCCTGAGGGTTACCAACAGTCCCACTATTTATCCCGATGAGGCGACCTTTTTTTTTTCTTGCGGAAGTTCACGGTAATAGTCAAACCACATGGCAATGGAGTGGTAAACCCATGGTAAGCCCATTGAGCTGTATCATAATACAATAGCATAAACTCACTCCTGGACTGGAGAAAAATAATAATAAAGGAACGTGCTCTCCGGAAATTTGCACCACATGGAAGTCGACATTATGAGCATCGAAATTTTCCCACGGTAGAACAATCGCTTGGTATTGCGATATAATTGTGTCTCGTTTGTCAAGTTACAGTTTCACTACGAAAGGAAACAAGCATGTGGGGCTGCAAACCAAAGACAATACGCAAACTGTGTTGTGGTCAGAAAGTTTGTATGAATGTACCTACAGTGTAGAAAAATATAAACAGTATTCTATTTTCTTAGATGTTAAAACTCACAAAGGATTGTATGAATCAACAAATGTATGACAAAAGCAGAAGTGAGGACAATGGAGGTTTGTACTGTATACTATACAATGTACATGTATACATGTATGAACTTGTACTAGCGCAGATCCCATGCACAGAGGGGGTTGCAAACTTGCAGTACAACACATGCCATCATGCTGTGCAACAAAGGCAGGCCTTGGAAATTGGCCAGTGACCCTGCATTTGGAAATTCAGTCATGTACATGTACATGTACGTGTACATGTACAATGTACATATACATGTATGCTTATGTACCAGGCACACAGCCATATGGACATGGACATGGAAGATGTATGTAACTTAACATAAGACTGTGCACGAGTACATGTTCCTCACCCATTTAATACAAATGTAAACACTCATTGCACACAATACAAACATTAATGCACTCAACCTTTTTCATGTACAGTATGTGATTGCATATACATGTATGTACATTTTTGTATACACACACTGTATGATTGCTACATGTACATGTACATGACATGTTTTAGCTCCATATTTTATGTACGTGTATGCATGCACATCAGGTTAAGACTTGTGATACATTTTGTACATGTCTTGATGTGGACAGATTATACATAATGGGACTAACATAATCTGTGTTGAAAGTTAAGATTTCACGAATTACTAAAATTTAACATTTTTCTTAAGGGAATAAATGTGTGTTGCGGAGGTATTATAACTCTCTGTTTAAAACCCGTGTGAGTCTGGATGGGTGATAATTACCCGAGGCGAAGCCGAGGGTAATTATCACCCATCCAGACTCCCACCGGTTTTATACAGAGTGTTTAATACCGACGGAACACATATTTATTCCCATTCATAAATACCTTTTTGGTAAAAAAACAAACAATCTTTTCGGTCCAAAAATCAAAAAGTAGACGTTGTTAACCATTTTGTTCAGCAATTTTACTTCATGGTTTTCGAAACACCCCTCTGACTATAATATGGAATGCCCCTCCACAATTGCGTGCGCGTCACGCATTCCACCTCCATGGTCGCGCGTACTGCGCGATGTCCCGCAAAAAGCAGCTTGGCTGGTGTAGTGTGAATATCGGACTATGAAATAATGATTCACTGGTAGTA